ACCAATACAATAATGAAGGTGCTCACACCACAGTCAGCATACAACTAGGTTACCCTTGCTGGGATTTTGGGTGCTATGATCCCATGATAAATACATGCTCTTTAAAAATTAGCCTCTAGGGCTGGAACTGGACCTCAGTTGGAAGAGTGCTTGCCTATCATGCATGGGGCCCCGAGTTCCTTTACTGGCACAGCATACCAGGCATGGTAGCATACACCTATAATCCCTGTACTGGAGAGGTGGAGGCAGAAGGACTTGGAATTTATGGATAGCTTTGAGAAAACTTGAATAAATGAATAACTAAAACGAGCCTTTAGAACTGCCTAATATTTTAGTGTTTGTTGGCAATTCCTATGGCCTTCACATGCCTCTTGGCTTAGAGAATTCTTTGCAACATGCCTCTGCACTGGTTTTAAATAGCATCTTTATTCTTTCTCCTTTTCATCCTTGGCCTTTCACTAAATAAACTTAGAACATTTTCAGAGCATTAAGATTTTTTTTTCCACCTTAAAGTTAGAACTGAGATAGAATTTCACAGAAAGAAGGAAGCTCGCTACTAACATATGTTGCAGGATCTCATCCACAGGTTTGTAGTGTGGATTCTCTCTCTCTCTCTCTCTCTCTCTCTCTCTCTCTCTCTCTCTCTCTGCCCCCCGTGTGTGTGTGTGTGTGTGTGTGTGTGTGTGTGTGTGTGTATCCTGACTGTGTGTTGCTCTGAGACAGTCAGCCCACATGTGAAGCCTTACCCCACTCCCAAGAGACTGCTCTATGAACACAGCAGCAGTTTATTTGTTTACACTGACACCTCTGATTTTCAAGAACATTTGAATACTTGCTTTAACTGCATAGCCTACTCTTCCTTTCTAGAAATGCTGCGGGATTTGGCAATTTGGTGAGCTACCAGAAAGATCTAGGTGAATTCCACTTTAGGTATCATCTGTCTGTGTATCTCTTGAATATCCACAGCTTCTAGAGTAAAAGTTAAAGTTTCTGTTCTTCGCTTCCCTGTTCCCCTGCCCTAGGCCAGTTTTGAACTCACTCTAGAGCTTAGGATGACCTTGAACCCCTGATCCTCCTGCCTCCACCTCTAATATGCTGGGATTACAAGGGTTCTACATCACATTCATTGCATGGTGTTTGGGATTGAACCTACAGCTTTCTGCATCCTAGGCAAGCACTCTGCTGCCTGAACTGTATTCCCAGGCCCAAAAGATAGCTTTAAAACAAAGGGTAAATCCATGCATCTCATGCAAATCTAAAATGAGCTCATAAAATATTTGATGAAACTCATTAATCAAACCATACTACAGCCAGTTCAAGTAGAGTTAATGAAGCATTGACTTCTGTAGAGTAAAGATTATTGAGGTGAATTTACAAGTGGTCATAAACTGGTGACGGCCCTGTCCCCCAGAGGTATGGTTGAAGGATCAATTGAAATGCTACCCGGCAGATTTTGTAACCAGTGTTTTAATGTAAAAGCCCCAGTTTCCTGCATTTCTGACAAGGGAGGCTCAGGCAATCATCTCAATATGCCAATTAAAGGGATGAGAAATGGTGAAAAGCAGAGTGGAGTTTTATTCAATGTGGCTGCAGTGGGGACAAACAAATAAAGGGGTTCAGTGACTCTCAAGTCGGCTTCAGGAGACTGACAAGAGCTTTAGGTTTAAAGAGAGGAAGGTCTGAGGCAAGGAACAAGAGGTCTGTATAATTAAGCAGCCCTGGTCAAAGTGTGGCCTGGTTAATCATTATATTAGCTCTGGTTCAGCCAAGTGATCTAAGACATTATCCTAGCCATAGCTGGAGGGGATTGATCCGATTCTTCTGAGATAATCAAGTCCTGCTCCGGGGTGCAGCCTCCTGTCATAGACAATTGCCCTCGTGTGGGAGTGTGGTCCTTCCTGCCAGGTCCTCCTTGTTCTTGGCATCTAGGGTGCTACAGGTTTATGACCAGGACTTATTTTTGATGAGATGGGTTAGACAGAAGACCATCTTTGAGTCTTATCATGTCTGCAGCATGCAGCAGGAATCTAACACAAAGTAAAGGAGACGGACCCCAAATGAAAGCAGAGGGCTGGCTTCCCATCTGGCTTTTATTACCTTATGGGCCCGTGAGGTGCGCCATTGCCTTTTTAGCAAAAGCAGCTTCTTCTAGGTGCCCGCCCGCTTTAGTTGTAGTCATGTATCTATGAGCAAAACTTGTTTTGTACCACTCTCAGCCATCACAATTAACGCAGACAAAATGAGGAGTGGCACCAGACAACCCAGAATGCCATATCCTACCCAGGGTACACTGTTCCCATGCTAGAAGCTCAACAGTCATTCTGGCTTCTTCCAGATTTTCATGCAAACTTGTTTGACCATCCTCTTGTGCTTATGGATATGATTTAATGAGTACATATAACATACTAGGTGTGGGACTGCACAGGTCTATTCCCATACAGATTTTATGATGGATATAAATCATGTCTTACGTTCACTGAATATACTGATAATATTTATTTAAACATTTACATTATTAAAGGAAAGAGGCTTTTGTAGTTAACAAGAAATGGTAACAATGTTAAGACTTTATTAGGGCTTACAGTTTCAGAAAGCTAAGAATCCATTATGAGCCCTGCCAGTGGTGGCGCAAGACTTTATGTTTTATGGAATAATTTATATAAAAAAGATAATTTTTATTAGAACAAGAAAGGCCACATTTTAATAGAACATCCCCAGCCAGATTAATTAGAAATAAACGCATATTGCCTCACTATCCCTGCCCCATTAGTATAGGTACAGGTTATATAGGACATCTCTCTTTCTCAGTCTTTGTTTTTAGACAGGGTCTTACCATGTCACCCTGGCTAGCCTGGGACTTGCTAAGTTAGACCAGGCTGGCTTCCTATTCATAGAGATCTGCCTGCCTCTGTCTCCTGAGTGCTGAGATTAAAGGGTGTGCCACCATGGCTGGCAAGATATCTTTTCTTCACTGACAATCATTCTCCTGAAAGACATTTGTAGAACTGATTTCTCTTATCTTTGGCATACTGTTAACACACACACACACACACACACACACACACACACACACACACCTGTCATCTTCAGGTCCCACATCAGGAGAAAGCAGGCTTACATAATATGTGACTTGCTCTGTGTTACCAAAATCAGGCTGCTTCTCATTCTGGCAGTAGCTGGGATTGGGGACTTGGGTCTTTGTGACAGCTGAGAAGGGGGAAAGGCTTCAGGAACTAGATGTGGAAGGTCAGCTTTTCAAAGCAGCTGGGAAGGGAGAGAGGCTACAGGGGTTGGGTGGGGTCAGGTCTGAGTTCTAACAAAACACACTCCCAAGTTTGGACTGAGGATATATAGCTCAGTCAATAGAGTGTTTCCCTAGCATACATGAAGCCCTAGGTTTAATTCCCAGCATCACCTGAAATCGGACACATGGGGCATGCCTGTGATCTCAGCACCTAGGAAGTGGAAGCAGGAGAAGAAACACATCAGCCAAAAAAAAAAACAGCACCAAAAAAAAAAAGAACACACTTGATAGAGGGGAAGGTTGGGCTACAGGAGACATGACTTGGTGACAAACTCAATATTATTAGGGATGGTGGAGGCAAATGAATTTTCACACATTGAAGATGACTTCCAGACAAGAGAATGTCAAAAGGCAGTTGTAGAAAAACAGAAGATTAATTTGGATTTTACTTGTAATTTTTCAAATGTGGTCATCCAGCTTCCTGCTCCTGCTGGAATGCCTCGTGACATGCCATGCTTTCCCCACCATCAAGAAAGAGCTCTAGCCCTTTGGAACTGTAAGGCCAAATGAACTATTTGTCCCTTGAATTGCTTTTGGTCACAGTATTTTATCACAGCAGCAAAAAAGTAACTAGTACATGGAGGATCACATTTCGCTCTGCAGTAAAATCCAACCTGTCAATGTAGGATTATGTGAGATAGTTATGTTTGGACTCCATTAAGTTAATGAAAATTGTAAAAAAAAAAAATGCACTGCAAGGTGTGGTGGTGCACACCTGTAATCCCAGCAGAAGCAGAGACAGGAGGATCACGAGTTCAAGACTATCCTTGACTACATAGTGAGTTGGTCATATTGACATAGGTCAGCTTGGGCCTCAGGAGACTCTCTCTCAGAACAATAGCAACCAAAATCCATCAAGAAAAACAAATAAACAAAAAATCAAACAACAATAATGAAATCCTGTAAAACTCCTAAATCACAATCCAGTTTGTGTCCTAACCGGAAATACTAAAAGAAAAGCACAAGCTGCATATTATTGTAGTTTATATTTCTTAAAACTATTTTATAAATGAAGCTGACATGTCTTGTTCCCAACCCCACTGCCTTCTACAAAGGATATAAAAGCTCTTAATTGACATGAGATTCCTTGGAGGAGAAAAAAATACAGCGGCAGCAAACAGTAATCAATGATGCCAAAGTCAGCCCTACTGGGGGCTCCAGTGTCTTAGATGATAGGGCACCGGTGGATGAATTCAAGAACTCCTCATCCATAAGGATCGAAAGGGAACAGCATGCCCAGTGAGTAGCAGGTGTGTTAGCCTTTCCAGCAGCTGGGGTGTGTATCCCAGAATAGGCCTAGCACATTACGGTGCTGATGATTACACAGTTAGGGACTCATATGTCAATACAGAGCTGTGCTCATGCAGGGCATGCAGGGTTCCCTGGGTTTCCCTCCTCTGCTCCCCCCACCCCGACCCCACAGCTTTCCTTGCCAGTATGTGTGTGTGTGTGTGTTGCCTGGGAATGTTTGGCTTTAAAAGCTAAAAAATAAGTCTCTCTCACCTGCTGTTGATCAGTTGCCAGCTGCTTCCTTCTGGATGTCCTTGCCGTCTGTCTGTCCTTGGGAAGGACAGGTATTGCTGCCAAAGAGGGACCGAGAGGCAGCCTGGAGCCCAGAGGCACTGGATTCATATCAGAGTCTGACATTTTAAGATGATTGTCAGTTGCCTCCTTTCCTGGCACAACTTTCTAGAGATACTCTTGGCTCAAAATAAAATTAAGAAGTTCAGTATCCATATAGCTAAAGATCTAAATTATAATATAATTATAAAATAAGGATGGATGTGGTGTCTTTCCTGAATTTGTATGCCTTCATTCTCTATTACAATCCTGCAGTTCGTTCTAATTTATTTTATGATCATTTGAGACAAAAATCTCCTGTAGCCCAGGCTGGCTCCGGACTTGGTATATAACTGAAAATGACCTTGAACTTCTGATCTTTCAGCCTCTGCCTCCCAAGTGCTGGGATCACAGACATGTACCACCCCACCTCATTTACTCAATACCGAGGACTTAGCTCAGGGCTTTCCATGCTAGGTGAGACCTCTCCCAACTGAACTCCAGCCCCAGTCCAGGTTTTTCCTTCATGAAACCAATGATATACATCTACAGCACAAGGAAAAAGAACATCTAACCAAGGCTGAGGTCAGCACAATTAGGAATGACTTACCGAGTATTGAATTCTACACTAGCTTTACCCAGCAAGTGGTAGAAACTACTGGGACTCAGTTCTCATTCTCTACCAAACATTCATAACCATGAAAAGTTCTTTAAGTGAGCAAGAGCATTTATTCTTGCCAAACGTAAAAGAACCAACAGTGGAGTCCTATCTTAGGAACACAGTATCTGGGAGGTGGGGCTCTTACCTAAGGGTCAGACTTCATAAACCTCAGAAACTTCGTAGGTGTGAAGAAGCCTTCCTGAGCAGGATCTGTGCGCTGAAAGGTCTCAGGCCTTGATTAAGCATCAGCAATCTGTAACAGAAAAAACTGTGAACTGTGGTGAGCCTTAATCAGAAGGACAAGCTTATGAATGACCAGAACATCCCTGAAGTAAGTCACTGAAGAGATAGTACGAGTATTGGTTTCTACTAATTCAAGCCTCATGTATTTTTTTTGGGGTGGGAGGGTACAAACTCTTCACTGGTTTCTTCACCTGAAATTTCTACTTTTTGTTATCATCAGAATGTTCTCTTTGAAAATAATAATAGTGTGTATAATGTAAGCACAATAAATAAGCTATGACTAGATCAGGCTTTAGAAAGGGGTGTGCATTCCTTCGTAGTGAGTGGTAAGTTTCCACCATTTGCTGAGTAGAGCTAGTGTAGAATCTAGCACTCCGTAAATCATTCCCAATTTTGCTGGATGTGGCCTTTGCTAGATGCTCCTTTTTCCTTGTGCTGACTGTATCCTATGCTCTACTTCTTAGCAATTATCATACATGCATATGTAATTTTCATGCATCTGCTTTTCTTCTCAACTAAGCCCTTAATTTCAAGGGCACAGAGATTATCATAGACATTTCCGTGGCATTTTGGACAAGAATAAATGTGAATGTTGGTAAAATAGAGTCAGGAAGCTTCTTACCCAGGCTTGGATGACTGGACCATTTATTGAGATAGGAGACATGACTGCCTAAACATGAGCTGAATCAGGACAATAGACATTCCAAAATGGAATGGTTTGAAAAATACCATGAGTCCCCAGGCCTACATAAAGAACTACAGGCAAATAAGGAATGCTGAGAAAGAGTCTTTTCCAGGGAAGATTATACCAACTGATTATCCAACACCAAATGGTCATCCCTGAAAACACATATCCAAGTAAAATTATACGGGCTGATCAAGTTGTATTTATATATTTGGGAATATATGAATGTGTGTGTGTGTGTGTGTGTGTATGAACAACTAAAAAGAGGCCAAGATGTAAAGAAAGATCAAGGGGTTCATGGGAGGGACTGGAGGAAGGGAAGGGAGAAATGATGTAATTATAATTTCAAAAAATAAAAAAAAATTGTAAAAACGTCAGTTCTGTCTATATGGAATATATAGATATAGAAAAACAGAGATAGACTAGAGACTTTTAAGAACTTAGAGAATAGGGGTATGAACATGTATTAGGGACTGAAGACAGAATTCTAAGTCTGGGATGCTTAAAGCAGTGTCCCATTCAAAAAATTCTGTGAACCCTGATAAGAGATAAGTATCAGATAGATAACCATTGTCATAAATATTTTATTTTCTTTTTTATATACATTATTTTAACAGACATGCATTGAAAGCTTAGTATGTTTTAGATGGCTAAGAATACAAAAAAGGACAAATAACACAGGAGTCCAGTTCTTGAAAGGCTCCAAGTCTTTTAAGACAGCAGATATGGCTTTGGTGGGACAAAGACTGTAAGGCCCAGACGTGATGCATGACCGCAAGGGAGGAGTGTTTTTGAGACATAGCAGGGTAATTGAACTCACATATGTAACTGAGTTCCCATATGAACTCATAGCAGCTGTGAGAGTATGCACAGAGCCTGCACGAGCTCAAGACATAAAATCCCAGCATGGAGAGGGGAGGTGGGCACGAACACCCACCCCCAGCTGAGAAGCTACTGGCAATGGATAATCAGAGGGAGAGTCAGTTTTCTTTTCTTTAATTTCATTAACATTTTTTTCATTTATTTTACATACAGACCACTTTCCTCTCTCTCTCCTCTCCCTCTGTTCCCTTCCCCTACCTCCTCTTCCCCACTACCTCTCATCTACCCCTCCCCATCCACTCCTCCTGTCTCCATTCAGAAAGGGGCAGGCCTCCCATGGGCTTGAACAAAGCATGGTAAGGGTATGGCCTTGGGTAGGTTAAGCAGGTTTCACTGTAAGGCCACATATCTGAGAATACATGAGTAGCAAAAATGAGACTTGATATTTTTAAAGAGAATACACAAAGTTGGGTGGGTATGAGGGGGTAATCTGGGAGATGTTGGCAGAGGGCAGTGAATATTATCAAAATGTATTTGTGAAATCCTGAAAGAACTAATATAAATAAGAAACACTAGAAGGGCAAAAAAACCCACCCCAAAACAAAATGATATCTGAATTGAGTATTAAAGTGACATTTAACCGACCAAAATGACAATGACTTTTAAAAAAGATTGGAATAAGCAGTTCTAAGTAGGAAGAAACTATAAAAAACAATAGAAATAGAAGTATAAAAATAGTAGAAAAAGAAGTATAGGTGGATTCAGGACAACAGGTAAGATATAAGAAACTCCAAAAAGTTCACAAAGGTTGTTTTCTGACCACTAGAGAAGGCATCTACAGTAGATTTTTACGTTCAGATTTCTGAGACAGAAAGGTACCCACAGCTAGTAGGGAGGGTATAGATGATGAAGCCTAAACTATAGCAAGGACAATTTAAGTTTTGCAATGATTCAGCCTTGTATGCCTCACGTGGGCAAGTTGGACTGCAGATGCCAAGTTCTTGGCAAATGTTCATCTGACAGTGACTAAGGACCCAGATCACCCACCAGAAAGTGAATTAGCAGGTAATCACAGACCTTCTTTCCTTTTCAACATCTAGGGAACTCAAGGCTCCTGGACCATCCCTCTTTGATTGTATTGATGTAACACACTCTACCTGGATTGCCCACTTCCCCCTTCGCTGTCTGGTACATTCATGCTTTAAACCCCATTTGAAATGTCATCTGTCCTCTGCTGTGTTTCCTGGAGAGCAGCAAGTGCTTTTCAACATTTTCATGTATCCATATGTTTTCCCCTGCTTGTTCAATATGGAATGGAGAAAGAAAACATGCTCCTGCTAGGGAAGCAGGTAGGCTGACTGCAGATCTTCACCTCTCCCTCCATTTCTGCAAGTTCAACCCCCATTCTCATCCTCACCTCTGCAGAAAACAAACAAACCAACCAACCTGTGGCAGCCTGACCCTATCTCATCTCTAGTGGGTTCCACAGATCTTCAAACCTCACTCCTCCAACTCACTGCGTTGCCCCAGCCTCCAAATCCAGCAGGCACTCCCTGTAAAGCCACAGACAACACTGGCCAAGAAAGCAGGTAGGCTAAGGTCAGATCTCCACCCCTCCCTCAGCTCCTCCAAATCCAATGCCCCAGTCTCATCCCCAGCTCTGCAGCAGAGCACCTGCTGCAACCTCCCTTCTCACTCTGTCCCCATCTCCAGTGGACCCCCCTTAGATCCCCCCTTCTTTTGCTTTGTCAACACCCCCACCTCCAGCAGGCACTCTCTGGGAAGTCACAGGCCACACTGGGCAGGAAAACAGGTGGGCTGACTGCAGGTCTTCACCTCTTCCTCTGCTCCCCCAAGTCTAATCCCCCAGTCTCATCCCCAGCTCTGTAGAAGAACTGCTGCAGGCTCCTTTCCCCCTGCCCCCATCAACACAGATCACACAGATCGTCTTCAACCTTCCTTCCACCAAACACTGCTCTGTCTCAGCCCCAAACTCCAGCAGGCACTCCCTGGGAACATACAGACCACTCCAACCAGGGAAGCAAGTCCACTAACTGCAGATCCTCACTTCTCCCTCCACTCCTCCAAGGCCAGTTCCCCAGTCTCATGCCCAGCTCCCTAGCAGACTGCTGCTGTAGCCACTCCTCACACTCTGTTCTCATTCCCAGGGGACAAACTAAGACGATCCTAGTGGAACACCCTGCTTCTTGTGAAGTTCCTCCACCAACCCAAATCCATCCCCATCGCTAAGTCTCTGAGTACAATATCCAGAAACTCACTTTACCTGGAACCCCCAGTGTCGATATCTATCAGGACCCCAGAATATTTTCTTACAGGCAATACACAGCCACCACACTTCTCCAAGAACCAGAGAGGAAACAGAAACCAAGGAATGAAACACTCATCCGACAAAAACAAGAAAATTCAACAAAGACAATTTAGCACCTAGAATTACAATCTTCAAAAGCCCAGATGCCTAGACGCCAGCATAAAAATACAATCAATAACATCTAGGACAACATGTCTCCAACAGAGCCCACCCAGCACGCCTATTGCAGCAGGCCCCAAATATTCCACATAGCTGAAGCACAGAAGGAAGACCTTCAAACAGCCTTTATGAATATGATAGAGGTCCTTAAAGAGAACAATAATAAATTGCTTAAAGAAACCCAGGGAAACACAGTGGGAGGAAAGGAAGGAAACTGTGTAAGACTTGAAAGTGGAAATAGAATCAATAAAGAAAACCCAAACTGAGATCAAACTGGAAATGAAAACTTTAGGAGCTCACCAAGATGTCAAGTCTTCATCTTCCGAAGGAGCAGAGGGACACAGCCTTCTTGGAAAAGACTGACACCCAGCTAGCTCACTCCAGTTCCTTTAAGCAAACATATACAAGGTTAACTGGGGCTGGGAAAGGATCCAACCACCAAAGCCATCTTGTTCCTGCTGCCCATGAGAGCAGACAACCCAAACAAATCTCAGTCCCTTTTGATCATGGCAAGCCATAATCAAATGTAAGAACTCCAGGCTTGCCAGGAGTATCTTAGGACCAAGGTCAATGTATCTGCAAGCTCTCACATAGCAGTAGCACCAAGTGCAGATTTTCCAGAGACATTTCTTCAAGATCTGAACAGTCTCAAAACAATTTCTCAGCCTCTACTGATTAACCCAAACATAACAAAGGCTTTGCTGAAATATTTCTCTCAAAGCCAGACACAAAGGCTTTATATATTTCACTTAAAGCCAGACATAAAGGCTTTACTATACATTTCAATTAAAGCCAGACTTAAAGGCTTTACATATCACTTTTATGTGTCACTTTTACATATCATTTTTATGTGTCACTTTTCTGTGACACTTTTATGTAAAGGCTTTACATAAAGGCTTACATATCACTGCACTTTATCAACAGAATACAAGAGATGGAAGAGAGAATCTCAGATGTTGAAGACACATTAGAAGAAATGAATACATTGGTCAAAGAAAAACGCTAAATCCAAAAA